GCGTGGCGGGCCCTGTGGGCACCCCTTCAAAAAGGGACCCCCCAGGGGGGGCTTGGGGCTTCCAGCGAGCAGAGTTCAAGGACCTAGGGGCCTCCAGGCCGGTCCTAGGGGGGATTTGGACAAAAAGTGCTTTTTTTTGCCTTCTGGGCCCTAACTGCCCCCTAGCCCCCCCTGGCCCCCCCCTGGCCCCCCCTGGCCCCCCCTGCCCCCCCCTGGCCCCCCTGGCCTTCCCTGCACTCTTCTGAACTGCCCCCTTTCCAGGCCTGGCCTCCCTGACCCCGCCAGCCTTGGCTCTCTGGCCTCCCTGGCCCCCCTGGCCTACCTGGCCTTGCCCTGCTTTGAAAAAATAAAGAAAGCCGTAGACTGAGTTTAGGTGCTAAACCCTAAAAGGAATAGGTTTGGGTGGTTTAGCCGCCTTAGACGGCGTGGGGAGGGAGAGTGAATAAAAAGAGCCAACCACAATCAGGCTCAAACGTTGAATCGTCTGAAGACGATGCACTCGAAATTACACTGTCGCAAGCTACTTCCGCTTATGCGCCATTCTACGGCAAACCCTAAACCCTAAACCCTAAACCCTAAACCCTAAACCCTAAACCCTAAACCCTAAACCCTAAACCCTAAACCCTAAACCCTAAACCCTAAACTCAAGGCATAGGCCGCCCACCTACTGTGGGTGGGCGGCGCTTGAGCCCCTCGACCTCGATGGCGCAGAGCGACCCAAGACGCCTGCCCGCCTCTCCACAGCCATGGGGACGGTAGCACCCACGTCAGGCCCGGTACCGGAGCCGGTTCTCCTCGGGACCAGTACTGGTCCCTTAATAAAGTCATTACCCTAAACCCTGAGGTCGAGACCCTGGAGTCCCAACCTGTCCCAGAGCACCCCCAAAAAGGGACCCCCCAAGGGGGGGCTTGGGGCCTGCAGCGAGCAGAGTTCAAGGACCTGGGGGCGTCCAGGCCGGTCCTAGGGGAGACGTGGACAATTCTTGCAGTTTTGTGGTGTTAGGCCCCAGGTCGGCCCAGAGGTCCCCCAGGGCCAAGCCAGGGCCAGGGCCAGGCCCCCAGACACCTCCACTTGCCTATCCCCTGCCTGGCCCCCGCCCGCCTCTCCTGACCACTTCTGTTGGCCCTGGGTCCTGGACAAATTTTGGCATTTCTCGCCTTGCTGGCCTGGCCGGGGCCGGCCCCTTAGCCCCCTGCCCTTCCCAAAAGTGGCGCCGGACACGGTCGAAAAAGTGGCGCCGGACACTGTCCGGGCCTTTCTGTGGGCCTCCAAAAATGGTGCCGGACACGGTCCAGCAAGTGGCGCCGGACACGGTCTCTGGGGGGGCCCTACTTTGTCCGGCGTCGGCGCCGGACGCACTCCAAAAGTGGCGCCGGACGCTGTCGGACTTTGTCCGGCGCCGGCGCCGGACGCTCTCCGAACCGTGTCCGGCGCCGCTCGCCGGTACTTGGCGTGCTTGCTGTCGCCGTTTTGGACGCAATCTGCTGCCCTGCAAGCCATTTCTCTACCCAAATATGACTTTTCTGAAATTTCGTTTGTCCTGTGCCACGTTTTTTTTAATTTGCCAGCAAACTGTGTTTTGCGTGAGATTTCATGCATGTCCGTGCGATTCGGCATCCGCATTCATTTTTCCGCAGCAGCGTCGTGTCTTTTTCTCAAGTCTTGCTTTTTTTTTTCGGTGAAGCTGGAAGCATCCTTGGATTGAGCCCAAAACTGCAAAGTACTTGGCCTAGTTTTTGCGTCTTTTCGAAAACCTTAATTTTAAGAACAGTAAATCTATTTTAGATGTAGTGGCTTTAGTAATCTTTTTCCTTTGTCTTTTTTCGGGTTCGGGTCTAGACACATACGAAACTAACTTGACGTCCGAATCGACTTTGTGGCAGCCAAGGCAGAGGACGTTTCGCAGCTTTGCATGATCCCGGCACACTCCTTCCAGATGAAAAGTGCACGCACATGTCGTCGTCCCTCGCGGACCGTATCACCCCTTCGCGGACTATAGGGCGGCTGCACCTGGCGCTCATGCAAAAGTTGGGAATGTTATCGGTGAGTTTTTCTAGCCACACGCAGGTCGAGGTCAGCATGTGCCGCTGAGAGCTGCTTAGTCCTCCAGTCTTCGGATCCTGCTTCTAGCTGGCTTACAAGTGCCTCGCATGTGCTCTCCTGGCTCAAGCTATCTTCAGACCGCTGTATTCTAGCATTTGGCTCGACGGCCAGCCTCGGACAAGCCATGCCGCCAAAATGTGCGGGGCAAGAGGGGGACAACCTTGTGCCGTGTGTCTTCAGCACCCAAGACATCGGCCAGGCTGCACGCGTGCAGCCGGGGCGCCACGGCGGCGGGTCGCGGTGCCTCTTCTGCGCCGGCGACGTCTTGAACCAGCGCTTGGCCACTGCCCGCGGCAAGGGGGTCATCACGACGGCTTTGGCATTTTTTCAAGAGCATGGGCCTCTTGACGTCCTTCCGCAGGCCGTCCAGCGCGTGAAAGCTTTGGCCGGCGAGGATGCTTGGACTGAATGTGCCACGCGCTTGCAGCACTGCTTGCAGAAACGTGGCCGTACACAACAAGACCGTGCAGAGCGGCGGCAGCAGAATGCCCGCAACCGAGCCGGGGGACTCGCAACGTGGGCGCCGGTCTTGGAAGAGCGGCGGGCTCAATATTCCCCATCGGCGCAGGATGTGGCTGCAGAGAAGACGGCAGAGCTGGCGCAGCAGCGTGCATTGCAGCGCAAGTTCCCTGCTGTGTACAATCCAGATGTTCGCGACCCCAGCAAGTGGCAAACGGAAATGGCAGCGACCTTCCGCCGTTTCGCACAGGATTGGTCCTGGTCTTCCTGCCAGAAATGCCACCGCATGGTGCCACAAAAATTCCACCCCAAGCATGTGCGGTCGGCGGGACGCTTGCGGCCCCAGCTAAAAGCGTGTGCCCACTGCAAGAGTGGCGTGGGCTACTGGTCACCCCGTCCTTCAGATGTGCCTGAGCCTTTACGTCAACTTCCACAGTCCGTTCTTGACGCCTTGGCCATCCTGGATGTCTACACCGGCCCCTCGGAGAGGGCACCTCAAGGTTACTTGGTCCACACAGGGTGTGTTCGCTTCAGCTGGAAGCCGACCTCCGTTGAAGAGCGCTTGAGCGGTCTTCCGCGCCCGGAGTGGCGCCTGGGCCGGGCTGCTTACGAGTGGCTCATCGCGGCGGAGGACTGCACCTACCTCGACTTCCTTCAAGCCCACGCCGCCTTCCTTCGCCAGCGTCAGCGTCTCTTGGACCAAGCCGAGCTCGAGACCTCGGCGCCCATCCCGTGGCTGCCATTGCGCTTTATGGAGACTGTCGGGTTGGAATGCGCTGTTTGGCCGCACCTGTACTGGTGTCGCAGCATGTGCGAAACCTTCGTGCGCAGCTCTGACCGGCGCCGCTTGGATCGTGCACGCCGCGTGGCCGCTGGTGACGAGGAGCCGGACGACTTCGAAGCGGTCGATGCGGACGGAGATGCGGCAATGCCTGCGGTTGTGGACGACGGCTCTGACCTCGAGGAGGACTCCGACGAGCCCATCGAAGACGGAGACGGTCCAGGAGGGACGGAAACGCGGCAGAGCGCCAAGGAAATTCTTCATGGCAAAGGTTTTCTCTTCCGTCATCGGGGCTATGGCTCCACGCCCCCTTCGCCCAATTTGGTCTACGACTTATGCTGTGGATTTCGCTTTGTGGGGGCCGCGCAAACGCCGTGCCCACGACCTTGCAGGTGCTCTGGCCGGTCGCAGCTTCTCTCCCCCTGTATTGGCTGCAACAATGCCTGCGGCCGGGTCGACTGCGCCCGCCAGATCGGCTTTCCGTCCTGTTCATCACTTGCCGCCACTTGAAGAATGTCCCGCCCCCTATCCTGTTGGTTGGAGGACGATTGAAAAAAAAAAAGAGGCCGGCCGCGCGCGAACACACTTGCCTGCCGCGGAAACCTTCCACTTGGCTCACCTCCTCTTCCAGCTGGCTGAAGGTTTGTTGACGGGGACCAACCGGCAGCAGCAAGGCAGGCCTGCAAGAAGATGGACGCAGCACGTGCTGGCGGCCGAGGATCCCGCGACTGCGACGGTCGTGGAGATGTTTTGGGCGCCTGGAATTCCGATGGCAAAAGGAGCGACAAGTGGGGCCTTCCCAGTCCTATCATGTTTTGGCCGTGTGCAACCTTGCACCATGCTGGTCCGGTGCAGATGCGGCCAAGTGCCCTGTCCCGCATCTTACCGCCGACATTCCTCTGCAAGATGACGATCCGGAGCTGCATGATTTGGTTCGCGCCTTCCCAACTAGAACTGTGACACCTCGCTTGGCGCGCCATTACGGCCCGACCGTGTACGACTGCGCCCAGCCCCTTGCGTGCCTCATCCCGCAGATTTCCCATCGCACCCACGTCTCGCGCCGTCATGCCTGACGTCCTCGAAGCACTGCAGTGTCATATGGACGTCCAGATGGGCGACGGCCGGGGATTGCTGCTGCAGTACACCTCCACGTACGCGGCGAAGTTCAGCGACCAGTTCGCAAGCAGTTGGCTCAACGAGGAGGCGACCGACTTCCAGCTTGCCCGCACGGTGTTGACCGAGTAAACCCCCCTCTCTATCCAGAAAGTGGCTCCAGCGCGGAGGCCAGCAATTCCGGCAGGTTGCTGCAGACGGGGGTGTTGCGGCGATGGTCCTGCGACCTCCTGGAAAGCTTCCCCCCAGCCGCTGGAGCAGCGTACATGACTTCTTCCTGGCGCCCGGTGTTGCACGCATCCTCGAGTTTTTCTCAGGCTGCCAATTGAGTCGGGCAGCGCTCAGAAACCGCCGGCGCGTCCTGGTGGCCGCTGCCATGGATTCAGCCTTCCACGAAAGCTTTTATGGCCAGTGGCTGCTGCTCCACGTGCCTTTCCGTACCTTCGCGGAGCTTTGTGATGACCGCGTTCTTGCTGTACCTGAAGGCTATCGCATGTTGGCCCTGTGTCTTTTGAAGCGCCCCGGCTTCTGGCGCCGTCTGCACGACGTTCGGGACGAGTTGCAGTTGGAGGGCCACAGAGACGCCCACATCTGCAATGTCCTCAGCATGGTGGAAAGTCGCACGGCCGTCATCGATGCTTACCTCTCGGGACAGCTCACCCTGGACGAGGACATGCCTCCGGCCGACGGCTTCCTGGACGCGCCCGAAGTTGGCTATCAGGGCGAGCTGGACCCAGAGCAGGCCGTCGTCGTCGAACACATCCGGACCATGGTCAACTTGGCGCTGGAACGCCGCTACCCTGAAGACCCCGACGGCACCGCCATGCAGGAGTATGTCCGGAAGCTGCAAACCAGCAGGGCACAGGTGGCCCGTCCCTTCTGCGTGCTGGGTCCTGCGGGGTCCGGCAAAAGCACGGCCGTGGAAGTGGCAATCCGTCGCGCTGTCGACGCCGGCGCCCACGTGGGCATCGCCTGTCCGACGGGTATGCTTGCAAGCTCATACCGCAGCAAGTTTCCCGGCTTGGACGTGGACACCTTGCATGGCATGTTCCTCCTGCACTTGCCGCAAGAGCAGACCTGGGACTGCATGGCCTCCTTCGACGTGGTCGTCATCGATGAGATCGGCCAGCTCTCGCGCTACACCCTGGAACGGTTGTTGTGGCTTTGGGACAACGCGGACCGCCGCCCCGCTATCATCTTCCTCGGCGACTTCCACCAACTCCGTGGGATGGACAGTACCCGGGCCTGCGACAGCCCACGTTGGCAGCCGGTCGTCGTGCGCCACTTGCGCACTATGCGCCGTTGCAAGTGCGCGGAACTGCGGTGGAAGTTGGAGCTCTTGCGGACTGCCAAGCCCAATAAAGACCAGCTGCATCGCATCCTTCGCGGCCATCGCGCTGCTCCGGATCGCGGTCCGGGCGTGAGCCCAGAGCCCACGGAGCTGCACGTCCAGTTCATCCTGGAGGAAACCCCACAGACTCTCTTCCTAACGATCACGCGGCGCAACGCTGCCCTACTCAACGACCTGGCAGTCCAGGCACTCTACTCCGACGCGCTTCCCCTCGCGGTCGTTCCGGGCGACTACGAAAGCAACCTCGCCAACTACAACCAGGCCGGCCAGCTTGTCGACTGCGAGCCCGTGCAAGTCGCCATCTACGAGGGTATGCGGGTCACCCTGACCCGAAACCTCCAGAAGGAGCAGAACTTCGTCAACGGCATGCGCTGCGTGGTTCTGGGGATGCAGCGCGGCTCCGTGCTGGTCCGCACCGAGTGCGGCAACGTGCTCTCGGTTTTCCCCTTTACGGACGACGAGATTGACATCGACGGCGAGCAGCACCGTGCAACCTACTTCCCTCTCCGACTCGGCTATGCCGTCACCTTGCAGAAGATCCAAGGCGCCACCCTGGAGCATATTACTGTGTGGCTCGATGTACCGAATGTAGAAGCGGCTGCTTATGTCGCCCTCTCCCGGGTCCAGTATGACAACCAGTGGCGTTTTCTTGGACATGCCACGCGACATCACTTCACGCCCGCTTCCGGCATCTGATTCGCGAGGCTCTGCACTTGCTCTCTTCTTCTTAGGCGCAAGGCAAGCTCAACAGAAGCCCTGCCACGTGAGCCGTCCTCGTCGTGTAACGGCCAAGACTGAAAACGGCTGTACCAGGCTGTTGTAGATTGTAACACTTTTGCTGTCGCTGCCACGGCATTGTTGGGCAGTGACCGAGGGAGTGGAGTTCTCAACCACGTCGCGTTTCTGACAAAAACTCCCGCTGTCGTTCCGGCTTGCCGTCGACAGATCAGTTGCAAGCAATCCCTGTCTTTGGCAAGCATCGGCTCGAATCTGAAGGTCACCGAAAGCGCAGGTCCTCCCATGTCTGCCATGCTTCACCTGTGGGCCTGCCCAACTACTGATCACGGGCTCCTCGTCTGCAGTCATATCTCCAATTCGACGTCTGCGTTGTGCGCAAAAGCCCCTTCTGCATTGCATTTTACGTGTCAGCACAATAGGGACACAAATGCTGCAAGGCCACCCAGAGCTCGACACTCAGCGCCGCAGGCTTACAAAAGCACGAACTTGCGAAAGCATTCGATCTTGCTCCCGAGCTTTGCCACAACTTGTCGACCCCGGCTTTTTTTCAATGCATCGCGGTGCCGTGCCTGCAAGATTGCCTTACCGGTTTTAGCACACGTCTGCCCGTCCTTGGTCACAGTAACCTCTCGAAGTGCAACTCGACAAACCACGACAGAATGGACGTCAATAGCAAGCATCGGCTCGAATCGAGTTACAAAAGCACGAACTTGCGAAAGCATTCGATCTTGCTCCCGAGCTTTGCCACAACTTGTCGACCCCGGCTTTTTTTCAATGTATCGCGGTGCCGTGCCTGAAAGATTGCCTTACCGGTTTTAGCACACGTCTGCCCGTCCTTGGTCACAGTAACCTCTCGAAGTGCAACTCGACAAACCACGACAGAATGGACGTCAATAGCAAGCATCGGCTCGAATCGAGTTACAAAAGCACGAACTTGCGAAAGCATTCGATCTTGCTCCCGAGCTTTGCCACAACTTGTCGACCCCGGCTTTTTGTCAATGCATCGCGGTGCCGTGCCTAAAAGATTGCCTTACCGGTTTTAGCACACGTCTGCCCGTCCTTGGTCACAGTAACCTCTCGAAGTGCAACTCCACAAACCCCCCCGGCCTGGCCTCCCCCTTGGCCCTTACCTCCTGCCGTACTCTGCCCTGCCTTTTGGCTGCAGAATTGTGTGTTTGTTGTTAACCAAAATGGACCTAACAGAGTTTAGATCCTAAACCCTAAAAGGTATAGGTTTGGGCGGTTTGCCGCCTCAGACGGCGTGGGGTGGGTGAGTAATGTGATGGCCCGCCACAGTCGGGCCATGTCTGCGATTCGCAGGCAACAAAACCGCTAATAAATCCTACAATCCCTGTTACACTACCGCTACGCAATCTTGCAGCAAACCCTAAACCCTAAACCCTAAACCCTAAACCCTAAACCCTAAACCCTAAACCCCTAAACCCTAAACCCTAAACCCTAAACCCTAAACCCTAAACCCTAAACCCTAAACCCTAAACCCTAAACCTAAACCCTAAACCCTAAACCCTAAACCCTAAACCTAAACCCTAAACCCTAAAAAACAAAAAAAAAAACCCTAACAAAAAAACCTAAACCCGAAACCCTAAACCCGAAAAAACCTAACCCTAAAGAAAAAAAAAAACCCTAAAAAAAAAAAAAAACAAAAAAAAAAAAAAAAACACCCTAACCCTAACCCTAAACCCAAAAATCACAAGAACCCAAAAAACAACAAAGCAAACAAAGACCCAACAACAGAAAAAACCCAAAAAAAGGTCAAAAAAAACAATGGGAAACCCAATAAAACTCAAGGCATAGGCCGCCCACCTACTGTGGGTGGGCGGCGCTTAAGCCCCTCGACCTCGATGGCGCAGAGCGACCCAAGACGCCTGCCCGCCTCTCCACAGCCATGGGGACGGTAGCACCCACGTCAGGCCCGGTACCGGAGCAGGTTCTCCTCGGGACCAGTACTGGTCCCTGTTAAAGTAAATACCCTAAACCCCAAGCCCTCCACCATGGGGGCCCTGGCCCTGTGGGGCTCCCCTCCCAAAAGGGACCCCCCAGGGGGGGCTTGGGGCCTGCAGCGAGCAGAGTTCAAGGACCTAGGTGCCTCCAGACCGGTCCTAGGGGGGACTTGGACAAAAACTGTTTTTTGTGCCTTTCCTGGCCGTCCTGCCTAGCCCCCGCCCCCCCTGGCCCCCCCTGGCCCCCCCTGGCCCGCCCTGGCCCCCCCTGGCCCCCCCGGCCCCCCTGGCCCCCCCTGGCCCCCCCTGGCCCCCCCTGACTACTTGTTTGCCGGCCTTGGCTTTGTGGCCTCCCTGGCCCCTCACCTACCTGGCCCTGCACTGCTTTGCCCCGCCTGAGGTTGAAGAAAAAGAAAACCGTAGACTGAGTTTAGGTGCTAAACCCTAAAAGGAATAGGTTTGGGTGGTTTGGCCGCCTTAGACGGCGTGGGGTGGGAGAGTGAATAAAAAAAGCCAACCACAATCAGGCTCAAACATTGAATCGCTTGAGGACGATACACTCGAAATTACACTGTCGCCAGCTACTCCCGCTTATGCGCCATTCTACGGCAAACCCTAAACCCTAAACCCAAAACCCTAAACCCTAAACCCTAAACCCTAAACCCTAAACCCTAAACCCTAAACCCTAAACCCTAAACCCTAAACCCTAAACCCTAAACCCTAAACCCTAAACCCTAAACCCTAAACTCAAGGCATAGGCCGCCCACCTACTGTGGGTGGGCGGCGCTTAAGCCCCTCGCCCTCGATGGCGCAGAGCGACCCAAGACGCCTGCCCGCCTCTCCACAGCCATGGGGACGGTAGCACCCACGTCAGGCCCGGTACCGGAGCCGGTTCTCCTCGGGACCAGTACTGGTCCCTTAATAAAGTCATTACCCTAAACCCTGAGGTCGAGACCCTGGAGTCCCAACCTGTCCCAGAGCACCCCCAAAAAGGGACCCCCCAAGGGGGGGCTTGGGGCCTGCAGCGAGCAGAGTTCAAGGACCTGGGGGCGTCCAGGCCGGTCCTAGGGGAGACGTGGACAATTCTTGCAGTTTTGTGGTGTTAGGCCCCAGGTCGGCCCAGAGGTCCCCCAGGGCCAAGCCAGGGCCAGGGCCAGGCCCCCAGACACCTCCACTTGCCTATCCCCTGCCTGGCCCCCGCCCGCCTCTCCTGACCACTTCTGTTGGCCCTGGGTCCTGGACAAATTTTGGCATTTCTCGCCTTGCTGGCCTGGCCGGGGCCGGCCCCTTAGCCCCCTGCCCTTCCCAAAAGTGGCGCCGGACACGGTCGAAAAAGTGGCGCCGGACACTGTCCGGGCCTTTCTGTGGGCCTCCAAAAATGGTGCCGGACACGGTCCAGCAAGTGGCGCCGGACACGGTCTCTGGGGGGGCCCTACTTTGTCCGGCGTCGGCGCCGGACGCACTCCAAAAGTGGCGCCGGACGCTGTCGGACTTTGTCCGGCGCCGGCGCCGGACGCTCTCCGAACCGTGTCCGGCGCCGCTCGCCGGTACTTGGCGTGCTTGCTGGCGCCGTTTTGGACGCAATCTGCTGCCCTGCAAGCCATTTCTCTACCCAAATATGACTTTTCTGAAATTTCGTTTGTCCTGTGCCACGTTTTTTTTAATTTGCCAGCAAACTGTGTTTTGCGTGAGATTTCATGCATGTCCGTGCGATTCGGCATCCGCATTCATTTTTCCGCAGCAGCGTCGTGTCTTTTTCTCAAGTCTTGCTTTTTTTTTTCGGTGAAGCTGGAAGCATCCTTGGATTGAGCCCAAAACTGCAAAGTACTTGGCCTAGTTTTTGCGTCTTTTCGAAAACCTTAATTTTAAGAACAGTAAATCTATTTTAGATGTAGTGGCTTTAGTAATCTTTTTCCTTTGTCTTTTTTCGGGTTCGGGTCTAGACACATATGAAACTAACTTGACGTCCGAATCGACTTTGTGGCAGCCAAGGCAGAGGACGTTTCGCAGCTTTGCATGATCCCGGCACACTCCTTCCAGATGAAAAGTGCACGCACATGTCGTCGTCCCTCGCGGACCGTATCACCCCTTCGCGGACTATAGGGCGGCTGCACCTGGCGCTCATGCAAAAGTTGGGAATGTTATCGGTGAGTTTTTCTAGCCACACGCAGGTCGAGGTCAGCATGTGCCGCTGAGAGCTGCTTAGTCCTCCAGTCTTCGGATCCTGCTTCTAGCTGGCTTACAAGTGCCTCGCATGTGCTCTCCTGGCTCAAGCTATCTTCAGACCGCTGTATTCTAGCATTTGGCTCGACGGCCAGCCTCGGACAAGCCATGCCGCCAAAATGTGCGGGGCAAGAGGGGGACAACCTTGTGCCGTGTGTCTTCAGCACCCAAGACATCGGCCAGGCTGCACGCGTGCAGCCGGGGCGCCACGGCGGCGGGTCGCGGTGCCTCTTCTGCGCCGGCGACGTCTTGAACCAGCGCTTGGCCACTGCCCGCGGCAAGGGGGTCATCACGACGGCTTTGGCATTTTTTCAAGAGCATGGGCCTCTTGACGTCCTTCCGCAGGCCGTCCAGCGCGTGAAAGCTTTGGCCGGCGAGGATGCTTGGACTGAATGTGCCACGCGCTTGCAGCACTGCTTGCAGAAACGTGGCCGTACACAACAAGACCGTGCAGAGCGGCGGCAGCAGAATGCCCGCAACCGAGCCGGGGGACTCGCAACGTGGGCGCCGGTCTTGGAAGAGCGGCGGGCTCAATATTCCCCATCGGCGCAGGATGTGGCTGCAGAGAAGACGGCAGAGCTGGCGCAGCAGCGTGCATTGCAGCGCAAGTTCCCTGCTGTGTACAATCCAGATGTTCGCGACCCCAGCAAGTGGCAAACGGAAATGGCAGCGACCTTCCGCCGTTTCGCACAGGATTGGTCCTGGTCTTCATGCCAGAAATGCCACCGCATGGTGCCACAAAAATTCCACCCCAAGCATGTGCGGTCGGCGGGACGCTTGCGGCCCCAGCTAAAAGCGTGTGCCCACTGCAAGAGTGGCGTGGGCTACTGGTCACCCCGTCCTTCAGATGTGCCTGAGCCTTTACGTCAACTTCCACAGTCCGTTCTTGACGCCTTGGCCATCCTGGATGTCTACACCGGCCCCTTGGAGAGGGCACCTCAAGGTTACTTGGTCCACACAGGGTGTGTTCGCTTCAGCTGGAAGCCGACCTCCGTTGAAGAGCGCTTGAGCGGTCTTCCGCGCCCGGAGTGGCGCCTGGGCCGGGCTGCTTACGAGTGGCTCATCGCGGCGGAGGACTGCACCTACCTCGACTTCCTTCAAGCCCACGACGCCTTCCTTCGCCAGCGTCAGCGTCTCTTGGACCAAGCCGAGCTCGAGACCTCGGCGCCCATCCCGTGGCTGCCATTGCGCTTTATGGAGACTGTCGGGTTGGAATGCGCTGTTTGGCCGCACCTGTACTGGTGTCGCAGCATGTGCGAAACCTTCGTGCGCAGCTCTGACCGGCGCCGCTTGGATCGTGCACGCCGCGTGGCCGCTGGTGACGAGGAGCCGGACGACTTCGAAGCGGTCGATGCGGACGGAGATGCGGCAATGCCTGCGGTTGTGGACGACGGCTCTGACCTCGAGGAGGACTCCGACGAGCCCATCGAAGACGGAGACGGTCCAGGAGGGACGGAAACGCGGCAGAGCGCCAAGGCAAGCTTCATGGCAAAGGTTTTCTCTTCCGTCATCGGCTATGGCTCCAACCGCCCCCTCGCCCAATTTGTCTACGACTTATGGCTGTGGAGTTCGCTTGGTGGGGCGCGCAACGCCGTGCCCACGACATTGCGAGGTGCTCTGGCCGGTCGCAGCTTCTCTCCCCTGTATTGGCGCAACATGCATGCTGGCCTGGTCGACTGCGCCCGCCAGATCGGCTTTCCGTCCTTGTTCATCACCGTGGCGCCACTTGAGATGTCCGCCCCCTATCACTGTTGGTTGGAGGACGAATTGAAGAAGGCCTGCCGCGCGCGAACACACTTGCCTGCCGCGGAAACCTTCCACTTGGCTCACCTCCTCTTCCAGCTGGCTGAAGGTTTGTTGACGGGGACCAACCGGCAGCAGCAAGGAAGGCCTGCAAGAAGATGGACGCGACACGTGCTGGCGGCCGAGGATCCCGCGACTGCGACGGTCGTGGAGATGTTTGGGCGCCTGGAATTCCAGGATGGCAAAAGGAAGCGACACGTGGGGCCTTCCCAGTCCTATCATGGTTCTGGCCGTGTGCACCTGCACATGCTGGTCTGGCTGCAGAATGCGGACCAAGTGCCCTGGTCCCGCATCTTACGCGCCGACATTCCCTCTGCAGATGACGAGCCGGAGCTGCATGATTTGGTTCGCGGCTCCCAACTAGACTGGGACACCAGCGCTTGGCCGCGCCATGACGGCCCGACCGTGTACGACAAGGACGCCCAGCTCTTGCGGTTGCATCATCCCGCAGATGCCCATGCAGCCCACGTCCGCGCCTTCATGCCTGACGTCCTCGAAGCACTGCAGTGTCATATGGACGTCCAGATGGGCGACGGCCGGGGGTTGCTGCTGCAGTACACCTCCACGTACGCGGCGAAGTTCAGCGACCAGTTCGCAAGCAGTTGGCTCAACGAGGAGGCGACCGACTTCCAGCTTGCCCGCAAGGTGTTGACCGAGTATCACCCGCTCGAGCCAGAAATGTGGCTCCAGCTCGGAGGCCAGCAATTCCGGCAGGTGCTGCAGACGGGGGTGTTGCGGCGAGTGGTCCTGCGACCTCCTTGGAAAGGCTTCCCCCCAAGCCGCTGGGAGCAGCTGTACATGACTTCTGCCTGGCGCCCGGATGATTGCACGCTCCTCGAGTTTCTCAGGCTTGCCAATGAGTCGGGCGAGCGACGCAAGAACCGCCGGCGCGTCCTGGTGGCCGCTGCCATGGATTCAGCCTTCCACGAAAGCTTTTATGGCCAGTGGCTGCTGCTCCACGTGCCTTTCCGTACCTTCGCGGAGCTTTGGGATGACCGCGTTCTTGCTGTACCTGAAGGCTATCGCATGTTGGCCCTGTGTCTTTTGAAGCGCCCCGGCTTCTGGCGCCGTCTGCACGACGTTCGGGACGAGTTGCAGTTGGAGGGCCACAGAGACGCCCACATCTGCAATGTCCTCAGCATGGTGGAAAGTCGCACGGCCGTCATCGATGCTTACCTCTCGGGACAGCTCGCCCTGGACGAGGACATGCCTCCGGCCGACGGCTTCCTGGACGCGCCCGAAGTTGGCTATCAGGGCGAGCTGGACCCAGAGCAGGCCGTCGTCGTCGAACACATCCGGACCATGGTCAACTTGGCGCTGGAACGCCGCTACCCTGAAGACCCCGACGGCACCGCCATGCAGGAGTATGTCCGGAAGCTGCAAACCAGCAGGGCACAGGTGGCCCGTCCCTTCTGCGTGCTGGGTCCTGCGGGGTCCGGCAAAAGCACGGCCGTGGAAGTGGCAATCCGTCGCGCTGTCGACGCCGGCGCCCACGTGGGCATCGCCTGTCCGACGGGTATGCTTGCAAGCTCATACCGCAGCAAGTTTCCCGGCTTGGACGTGGACACCTTGCATGGCATGTTCCTCCTGCACTTGCCGCAAGAGCAGACCTGGGACTGCATGGCCTCCTTCGACGTGGTCGTCATCGATGAGATCGGCCAGCTCTCGCGCTACACCCTGGAACGGTTGTTGTGGCTTTGGGACAACGCGGACCGCCGCCCCGCTATCATCTTCCTCGGCGACTTCCACCAACTCCGTGGGATGGACAGTACCCGGGCCTGCGACAGCCCACGTTGGCAGCCGGTCGTCGTGCGCCACTTGCGCACTATGCGCCGTTGCAAGTGCGCGGAACTGCGGTGGAAGTTGGAGCTCTTGCGGACTGCCAAGCCCAATAAAGACCAGCTGCATCGCATCCTTCGCGGCCATCGCGCTGCTCCGGATCGCGGTCCGGGCGTGAGCCCAGAGCCCACGGAGCTGCACGTCCAGTTCATCCTGGAGGAAACCCCACAGACTCTCTTCCTAACGATCACGCGGCGCAACGCTGCCCTACTCAACGACCTGGCAGTCCAGGCACTCTACTCCGACGCGCTTCCCCTCGCGGTCGTTCCGGGCGACTACGAAAGCAACCTCGCCAACTACAACCAGGCCGGCCAGCTTGTCGACTGCGAGCCCGTGCAAGTCGCCATCTACGAGGGTATGCGGGTCACCCTGACCCGAAACCTCCAGAAGGAGCAGAACTTCGTCAACGGCATGCGCTGCGTGGTTCTGGGGATGCAGCGCGGCTCCGTGCTGGTCCGCACCGAGTGCGGCAACGTGCTCTCGGTTTTCCCCTTTACGGACGACGAGATTGACATCGACGGCGAGCAGCACCGTGCAACCTACTTCCCTCTCCGACTCGGCTATGCCGTCACCTTGCAGAAGATCCAAGGCGCCACCCTGGAGCATATTACTGTGTGGCTCGATGTACCGAATGTAGAAGCGGCTGCTTATGTCGCCCTCTCCCGGGTCCAGTATGACAACCAGTGGCGTTTTCTTGGACATGCCACGCGACATCACTTCACGCCCGCTTCCGGCATCTGATTCGCGAGGCTCTGCACTTGCTCTCTTCTTCTTGGGCGCAAGGCAAGCTCAACAGAAGCCCTGCCACGTGAGCCGTCCTCGTCGTGTAACGGCCAAGACTGAAAACGGCTGTACCAGGCTGTTGTAGATTGTAACACTTTTGCTGTCGCTGCCACGGCATTGTTGGGCAGTGACCGAGGGAGTGGAGTTCTCAACCACGTCGCGTTTCTGACAAAAACTCCCGCTGTCGTTCCGGCTTGCCGTCGACAGATCAGTTGCAAGCAATCCCTGTCTTTGGCAAGCATCGGCTCGAATCTGAAGGTCACCGAAAGCGCAGGTCCTCCCATGTCTGCCATGCTTCACCTGTGGGCCTGCCCAACTACTGATCACTGGCTCCTCGTCTGCAGTCATATCTCCGATTCGACGTCTGCGTTGTGCGCAAAAGCCCCTTCTGCACTGCATTTTACGTGTCAGCACAATAGGGACACAAATGCTGCAAGGCCACCCAGAGCTCGACACTCAGCGCCGCAGGCTTACAAAAGCACGAACTTGCGAAAGCGTTCGATCTTGCTCCCGAGCTTTGCCACAACTTGTCGACCCCGGCTTTTTTTCAATGCATCGCGGTGCCGTGCCTGAAAGATTGCCTTACCGGTTTTAGCACACGTCTGCCCGTCCTTGGTCACAGTAACCTCTCGAAGTGCAACTCGACAAACCACGACAGAATGGACGTCAATAGCAAGCATCGGCTCGAATCGAGTTACAAAAGCACGAACTTGCGAAAGCGTTCGATCTTGCTCCCGAGCTTTGCCACAACTTGTCGACCCCGGCTTTTTTTCAATGTATCGCGGTGCCGTGCCTGAAAGATTGCCTTACCGGTTTTAGCACACGTCTACCCGTCCTTGGTCACAGTAACCTCTCGAAGTGCAACTCGACAAACCACGACAGAATGGACGTCAATAGCAAGAATCGGCTCGAATCGAGTTACAAAAGCACGAACTTGCGAAAGCGTTCGATCTTGCTCCCGAGCTTTGCCACAACTTGTCGACCCCGGCTTTTTGTCAATGCATCGCGGTGCCGTGCCTAAAAGATTGCCTTACCGGTTTTAGCACACGTCTGCCCGTCCTTGGTCACAGTAACCTCTCGAAGTGCAACTCCACAAACCCCCCCGGCCTGGCCTCCCCCTTGGCCCTTACCTCCTGCCGTACTCTGCCCTGCCTTTTGGCTGCAGAATTGTGTGTTTGTTGTTAACCAAAATGGACCTAACAGAGTTTAGATCCTAAACCCTAAAAGGTATAGGTTTGGGCGGTTTGCCGCCTCAGACGGCGTGGGGTGGGTGAGTAATGTGATGGCCCGCCACAGTCGGGCCATGTCTGCGATTCGCAGGCAACAAAACCGCTAATAAATCCTACAATCCTTGTTGCACTACCGCTACGCAATCTTGCAGCAAACCCTAAACCCTAAACCCTAAACCCCTAAACCCTAAACCCTAAACCCTAAACCCCTAAACCCTAAACCCAAAACCCTAAACCCTAAACCCTAAACCCTAAACCCTAAACCCTAAACCCTAAACCCTAAACCCTAAACCCTAAACCCTAAACCCTAAACCCTAAACCCTAAACCCTCTCTCTCAAATGAGTATTTAAATGTTGACCCATTTTTTCGGACGGGACCCCCCAGTGTTGCACCAGATTTTCGAATGGACCACCGGTGTTGCATCAGATTTTCGAATGGACCACCCGGTGTTGCACCAGATTTTCGAATGGACCACCAGTGTTGCACCAGATTTTCGAATGGACCCCCCGTATGTTGCACTAGATTTTCGAATGGACCCACCAGTGTTGCACCAGATTTTCGAATGGGGTCCATCCGAAAATCTGGTGCAACACTGGTCCCCCCGTATGTTGCACCAGATTTTCGAATGGACCCCATTCGAAAATCTGGTGCAACACTGGTCCTACCAGTGTTGCACCAGTTTTTCGAATGGACCCCTATTCGAAAATCTGGTGCAACACCGGTGGTCCATTCGAAAATCTGGTGCAACACTGGGGGGTCCATTCGAATATCTGGTGCAACACTGGTGGTCCATTCGAAAATCTGGTGCAACACTGGTCCTACCAGGGGGGTCCATTCGAAAACCTGGTGCAACACTGGTCCTACCAGGGGGTCCCTTCGAAAACCTGGTGCAACACTGGTCCTACCAGGGGGGTCCATTCGAAAACCTGGTGCAACACTGGTGGTCCATTCGAAAATCTGGTGCAACACTGGTCCTACCAGGGGGGTCCATTCGAAAACCTGGTGCAACACTGGTCCTACCAGGGGGTCCATTCGAAAACCTGGTGCAACACTGGTCCTACCAGGGGGGTCCATTCGAAAACCTGGTGCAACACTGGGGGGTCCATTCGAAAACCTGGTGCAACACTGGTCCTACCAGGGGGTCCATTCCAAAACCTGGTGCAACACTGGGGGGTCCATTGGGTTTAGGGCCTAGGGTTTGGGCTTCAGGGTTTAGGGCCTAGGGTTTGGGCTTTAGGGTTTAGGGCCTAAGGTTTGGGCTTTAGGGTTTAGGGCCTAGGGCTTGGGCTTTAGGGTTTAAGGCCTAGGGTTTGGGCTTTAGGGTTTAGGGCCTAAGGTTCGGGCTTTAGGGTTTAGGGCCTAGGGTTTCGTTGCTCATGCTCTTTGCTTTCCTGGGGCTGCTTGGTGTGACTACCCCCCAATAAGCGATGCTCATGCTCTTTGCTTTCCTGGGACTGCTTGGTGTGACTACCCCCCAATAAGCGATGCTCAGCTCTTTGCTTTCCTGGGACTGCTTGGTGTGACTACCCCCCAATAAGCGATGCTCATGCTCTTTGCTTTCCTGGGACTGCTTGGTGTGACTACCCCCCAATAAGCGATGCTCATGCTCTTTGCTTTCCTGGGACTGCTTGGTGTGACTACCCCCAATAAGCGATGCTCATGCTCTTTGCTTTCCTGGGACTGCTTGGTGTGACTACCCCCCAATAAGCGATGCTCATGCTCTTTGCTTTCCTGGGACTGCTTTGTGTGACTACCTCCCAATAAGCGATGCTCATGCTCTTTGCTTTGCTTTCTGGGGACTGCTTGGTGGACTACCCCATAAAGCGATGATCATGATCTTCCTCCTCCCTTTTCTCTTTGCTTTCCTGGGGACTGCTTGGTGTGCTACACCCCATAAGCGATGCGCATGTCTTTGCTTGCCTGGGGGAATCTGCTTGGTGTGACTACATCACAATAAGCGATGCTCATGCGCTGTGCTTTCTGGGGACTGCTTGGGTGATATCTATTACTGCAGCAATAGAAACATAAGGAATCGTGAGTAGAAATCGAGTTGTAGGGTTAGTTTGATGGCGGTCGAGGGTCAACGAAAAAAACTTTCAAGTCTTTATGTTTGGGATTATTTGGGTGGGGGTACTTCTACCAGTTCTTAATAGCGAACTGACCTAGAGACGCTCGAACAGAGATGTCGGAATCCTAAAACCCTAAAACCCTAAAACCCTAAACCCTAAACCCTCAACCCTAAAACCCTAAACCCTAACCCACTCTCTCAAATGAGTATTTAAATGTTGACCCATTTTTTCGGACGGGACCCCCCAGTGTTGCACCAGATTTTCGAATGGACCACCGGTGTTGCAGCAGATTTTCGAATGGACCACCCGGTGTTGCACCAGATTTTCGAATGGACCACCAGTGTTGCACCAGATTTTCGAATGGGCCCCCCGTATGTTGCACTAGATTTTCGAATGGACCCACCAGTGTTGCACCAGATTTTCGAATGGGGTCCATCCGAAAATCTGGTGCAACACTGGTCCCCCCGTATGTTGCACCAGATTTTCGAATGGACCCCATTCGAAAATCTGGTGCAACACTGGTCCTACCAGTGTTGCACCAGTTTTTCGAATGGACCCCTATTCGAAAATCTGGTGCAACACCGGTGGTCCATTCGAAAATCTGGTGCAACACTGGGGGGTCCATTCGAATATCTGGTGCAACACTGGTGGTCCATTCGAAAATCTGGTGCAACACTGGTCCTACCAGGGGGTCCATTCGAAAACCTGGTGCAACACTGGTCCTACCAGGGGGTCCATTCGAAAACCTGGTGCAACACTGGTCCTACCAGGGGGGTCCATTCGAAAACCTGGTGCAACACTGGTGGTCCATTCGAAAATCTGGTGCAACACTGGTCCTACCAGGGGGGTCCATTCGAAAACCTGGTGCAACACTGGTCCTACCAGGGGGTCCCTTCGAAAACCTGGTGCAACACTGGTCCTACCAGGGGGGTCCATTCGAAAACCTGGTGCAACACTGGTCCTACCAGGGGGGTCCATTCGAAAACCTGGTGCAACACTGGGGGGTCCATTGGGTTTAGGGCCTAGGGTTTGGGCTTCAGGGTTTAGGGCCTAGGGTGTGGGCTTTAGGGTTTAGGGCCTAAGGTTTGGGCTTTAGGGTTTAGGGCCTAGGGCTTGGGCTTTAGGGTTTAGGGCCTAGGGTTTGGGCTTTAGGGTTTAGGGCCTAAGGTTCGGGCTTTAGGGTTTAGGGCCTAGGGTTTCGTTGCTCTGCTCTTTGCTTTCCTGTGGCTGCTTGGTGTGACTACCCCCCAATAAGCGATGCTCATGCTCTTTGCTTTCCTGGGACTGCTTGGTGTGACTACCCCCCAATAAGCGATGCTCATGCTCTTTGCTTTCCTGGGACTGCTTGGTTTGACTACCCCCCAATAAGCGATGCTCATGCTCTTTGCTTTCCTGGGACTGCTTGGTGTGACTACCCCCCAATAAGCGATGCTCAAGCTCTTTGCTTTCCTGGGACTGCTTGGTGTGACTTTCCTGGGACTGCTTGGTGTGACTACCCCCCAATAAGCGATGCTCATGCTCTTTGCTTTCCTGGGACTGCTTGGTGTGACTACCCCCCAATAAGCGATGCTCATGCTCTTTGCTTTCCTGGGACTGCTTGGTGTGACTACCCCCCAATAAGCGATGCTCATGCTCTTTGCTTTCCTGGGACTGCTTGGT